TTTGGAAGTCCGATCTCAATAATAACAAATTTAAATAAAAATGAAGGATAATAGTGGTATCAAGGATGGTGAAAAGTTTTACTCACCAACCAGCCGCTATTCCCATGTCTTCCGCTTCCCTCGATGACAAATTTCTTTAGTTCTTGGATTTGCCCAACAGCTATTCGCGCTGCTATCACGATTTCAGGCGAATTTGGACATCTGAATATTTCGAGAGACGGTACAGCCTTCACGAACAAATCCTACCGGCTGCGCCAGTCAAATTTCGGGAACGTCGAAAATAGTTTTTTAAAACTAAAATACAATTAGATTACTATGTCCGACCGATTTGGAGGTGGCTTTAATAATCAACGATATTCAAAGAGTCCGTTTGAGCGCAGACATTCGACTCATCAACTAAGTACTAGGAACTTACATAGAAATGCTGATGCATTAGTTTTATTGCTTAGTCTAAATAATACAATATTATATATTTTAATATTTTAGTCTAAAACAGAGGGACGGGGTGTATCCATAACTAGGTACTATTTTGTTATTGTTATGTTATGTTAATAATATTTATTTTTGTTGGGAATTTTTTTAATAGTAGCAACATAAGATTACAAGATAACAAACGCTGAGGTGCTGTGGGAATTTGGTAATTTTAGCCTCTCTGCCTTTGCATTATACAAAGTGGACAGAGGCTGCTCTCTTTACCTGCTTTTGATTTATTATATATAGGAGGACAAACAAGTACCACATGGGATTCAAAGTATACTTCTGTGACTGCAGGGCAATGGAAAGGTTATGCCGGACTTCTACCTGCTTAAATCCCAAAGATATCACCATCAGTGCATACCGCTATATCTATTTAGAATACAGTTGAGCTCCTCCATAGCATTGCTTGACTAGAAGCACATCCCAGGGAAAGCACTTGCTACGCCCACCCCTTTCATAGTGCTATCAAGATGTCTTGAGATAACATTGGAATTATTCAACTTGGGGTTGCATTGCTATGCATTTGGGACCCTGTCCTGAGTGCTCCGTAGAGGCTCCTGTTTTGGTAGGTGGACACTATCATCGAGGGGAGGGCTGCGACAAACAATTTTGTCTCTAAGTGGGATCTGTCCTCTCCAGATCCCACTCAGCAGCCTCTTTATTGACTATAACTGATTCATTGAAGGCAGCTACAGCCCACCAAGCCAAATCTCAGCTCAGCATCACTCACACAACAACTGGCAGGGAATGTTTCTGTCCAAACCAACTAGCTCTCCAATATGCAATGTGGTCCGATTGTATGCACCTACGCACCCATGTCCGCCAGTATATCAGAGGTGGAAAGCGAGCCAGCACTGGCTGTCTCAAAGGATATTGCGCAGTATCCTCGCACAATCTGTATGGCCATCCTCTGTAAGACACTGTAGATTTTAGTTCTACAGTGTCAGATGGTCAGTCTTTTCGCCTATAAGATGCACCATATAGGATTTTGGACCAATTACTCCTGCATAGAGGTGACATACTTCCTCATACCCCCTAGATTGGACAATAGTTTATGCATAGCACCCGTTACCCTCTCAAAATGGGGTACAACGTGCTTAGCGTTCTTCGAAGCCCCAGCAACTGTCCACTTGGAGACTTAGGTACGTCATGAGCCACCCCAATCTGACTTCAGACCCACCCACATAGACGCACGAGTTGGGTGGGTCCCTGGTTGGGTGGGTCCCTGCACCCTGCCCCATGGTACTTTATGAAACTATAAGACCCCGGTCTAGTGAGGGGGTATTTCCAACTCCAATTTATTTCGAAGATCTACTCATAGAACCACATCATAGGCGTGGTTCCAAAATTAGCCCAGTCAAATAAGGTCTGAAATCAAAATTTTGGCACTCAAATTTGCATTTTTGATATAATGTAGTTTTAATGATACAAAACAATGTCTAAAGGTTTTCGTGTGTGCAACCCCCGGTAAAAATGAAACAAAAGAGTTCGAATAAAAATGTGTAGAGCTTATAATTTTACATAAAAAAGGTAATATGATTTTTTCCTCCGGTCAATAGAAATAGAGTTTTTAAGTTTAAGGGATGAACGTAAATAAAAAAAAAAGTAGGTAGTAGAAAAATATATAATAAGTAATTTTTTTAAATCGCTTAAATAAAATCTAATCTTTAATTATAGAGATACAATTTTTTTGTATTGTTAAAAAATATTACTTTTAATAATGTAAATAAATAAATTGACTGGACTAAATAGCGGCCCCAGCACCGAACACTGTGAATTTATTTGTTATTTATTTATTTATTCAGCCAAACTTATCACTAACATTACAGGATCTAATGACCTAATGTGCTAGTGATAACAGTAAACATTTTAATTATTGTAACATATTATAAATAATGCAGCCCTTGTGAATTCACTCACAGAACATACAAATATGTTAACATACAAATGTGTCATGGATAAGGTTAAGTCTGGTGGCGCGAGTGCGCGGCGCCTCCCGCCGCCTACGCCACACGTATTTCTCCGGGACATTCAAATATATACCCTCCAAGAAATAAGGATTGTCTATCTTTCCTCTTATTGGAGAATATATGATACTAATGCGAGGTCCCGCCTAACACGGAGTTCATTATGTCCCACCATACCTAAAACGAATAAGGTTGGATATTTAAGTGGGTAAAAAGGATATACGCCATACTGTTTGAAATATAGAATTCTAACAAATTTGTTTTGAATTCTCTCCAGCATGATACTATATTTAGTTTCATGTGGAGCCCAGATAACCGCGTTGCACTCAAGCTGGCTCCTAACTAAGGCGCTACAATGCTACAATGGCTTTAATGTTAGCGAAACAACGAGCCCTGCGCAGTATAAAACCTAAGTTACGATACACTTTCTTGCAGATGTCCGCTATATGATTTTGGGGAAATTAAGTACTGAGGTGAAACGAACACCCAAATCCTTAACCTCGTTCACTCGTGGCATAGCTACTCCATCCAGTTCGTACGTATACAGCATGGAATTGTGTGCGCGAGTAAAAGTTAGCGTTACACATTCAGATGAATTAAACTGCAACTTATTATCCTCACACCACGCTACCACCCTGTCAATGTCGCGTTGTAACCTCTCACAGTCCTCCGGTTCCCTGATCGGTAGATACAGCTTGAGGTCGTCAGCGAACAGCAAACATTTAGCGTCAATCACAACACTCGGCAGATCGTTTATCATTAATGTAAACTCGAGAGGACCGAGATTGCTGCTCTGACTCACACCAGATCGAGTGTAATATGGTTTCGATACGAAACCAGCGTATTCCACATATTGTTGCCTGTTTCTCATGTAACTGGCAAACAATTGTAGTAAGTGTGGAGTAAAACCAATGCTTGCTAAATTTTTAAGTAATACGTCATTATCGACCACGTTGAAGGCTTTTTTGAAATCAAAATAAGCTACGGCCACTTGCACTCCACTGTCCACTACCGGCACGATATCAGCCATGTAGTTCAGAAGGTTGCTTGCGGTACTCCGTGCTGGTCGAGTTCGATCTCTCTCCCCATAGTGTTTAACCTTTAACCTTCCACCGCGATCTCCAACTCTACCTGTGCAACGGACACCCCCCCCCCCCCACGTGTCCAATACGTGGAGGCCATGGGGCCGGGAAAAGCACTCAAGTTGAAGGCTGTTGCATTCGAGCAATCCTGAGCCGAGTGCTGCAGCCTTCTTTATTCCAGCGGTGGATCTGGTCTATGGCTCCGCCGCCAAACAAATTTCAGCCGCAAATGATAAGGAGAATAGAATAGAATGATTTTTATTCAATATTGATTATTACATAATACTTATTGAAAGTCATTTTTTATTTATTTCAGAAAATACCTCTGTCCTGGGAAGAACCAGCAAGAAACCCAGCGGGACTTTTTTAAAATATAATTTCACTTAACAAAAATTTTGTTTATACAATTTTAAATGAATTTTCATAGAACCTAGAGAGCGGCGTATTGCCATTCAAATACGATTCCAACTCTGCTGCGGCGGTAAGAAGGGAGGACATCCCTTCCGCCGCAGTACACCAACACACATGCGAAGTGGGCTCGCCCTGCTCACTTGGAGTGGGAGTGGGTAGCCAGAGCTTAAACTTTTAAACCATTTTTAAGTTATTAGGTAGGATTATGGGTAAAAAATTCATAACTGTTACAAATATGGTTCAAATTGACCAGTCTATGTTTGGAATATATCCAAACATAGACTGGTCAATTTGAACCATATTTCCACCACCAGAAATGCTTCCCAAATATTGTTGGTGATCTAATTGGATGACCACCACAACTTCTCTATATCCTCAGTAATTATACCAATCAGCGATTGTAGAGAGAAAAATGTGTGTTGTCCCGGCAACCACATTTTTCTCTCCCCTTTAAACGGATCTTTTTGTATGGCTTGGTCAATAGACTTGCAAAGGCATAAATTAAATTAAATAACCAATTATTATGTCTTTTAATTTAGTAATATAATTATATTTTGAAATTCCAAATATTACTTAATATTTTAAACAGTTTTATTATCATTTCTTAGCAAGCTTATTCATTTTGCAAAGGAAAAAGTTGCATGGTGGAAACGGGAACGACTGATTTTAGTTTTTTAAATGACAATACGAAGAGGGATACAAGTAATTAATACTTAAGTGAGCGGTAATCAAGCATTATGAGTGAGACGGCTTATTTACATGTAAATAATTTATGCTTCTCTTAACAAATAGAGAAAGATTTTTAAGCACTAAGAAAAAGGCTTACTTACACCTATTTAATTGATCTTAATATCAATAGTTCATCTCTTATCTGATTTACAATGACATGCAACAAATGACTGTGCATTTCTATATTTAGGAGTTATAAGAGGAAATAATACTTCCATTATGTTAAATATAAATTGCTAGTAAATAATAATGGTTTTTATTACATACAAATAAATTTTCCAGAATAAAATTGTATTTGTGATTACCATCTTTAAAAAAATTTAATTAATTTCAGGAAACACAATATGAAAATTTATCAGAAAGGAGAATGGAAAATGCTGGTCTGTCAGCTCCCGACTTACAACTTGATTGGCTTTCTGACAGCAGTTCTGATGACGATGTTCAAGTGTTAGGAGAAGAAAATAATCAAGTATGTTTTGTTGTTAGTTCCATAAACCAAATGATGAGTTGGTTTTAATCTCATTCTAAACATAAAATGTATTTTTATTAATATACTAATAGCAATGGTAGTCTGACCATCACTCCATCTCATCTTATATAGTAAAAGATGACTAAGGGAAAGGCCCAATAAATCTTGTAGCCAGTGATAAAGGGTGATGTAACCATATCAGTTATCTGGTATAATCCAGATTTATACTAAATAACAGTAATGGTAAGCAGTGTACAGTATTGTAAGCGTTTGTGCAGTATCTTCCTTCTCCTCTTTGGAGGTAGACTTCATTTGCATTAGACTTTACGGGGTGATAAGGATGAGGACATTATAATTTGTATTTAGAAATACTACCTACAGACTTACAGGATTATGATATTAGGCGTTTACCTATGAAATTGCCGTTTTTTTATTAAATAAGTTACGTAATTTTTTTTATTTCGATTAATTATTTTTATTTCGATTTATCAAAGTAATCACCCATGCAATCGATGCATCTTTGCCAACACAGTAGCAGTTTATTGATTCACTTCTTGAAGAAATCAGTTAGACGGGAGGCAACAAAATCCAACAACAACAACACAACACAAACACTCACGCCTGTCACCCAGAGGGGTAGGCAGAGACTACGGACTTCCATTTGGCACGATCGTGACACACCTCTCTCGCTTCCTTTACATCCATATATCTACGCATACACCCTCGTCGGTTAATGGTATTCCTAATCTGGCCCATTTTCAATATATCGCCGATTTGGTCGATAAACCTTCGTATAGGACGTCCCTTCCCAACTCTGTCGTTCACTTCTGCAACATAAATTTGCTTTTTCACTCTTTCCTCGTTCATTCCTTTTAAATGACCAAACCACCGAAGCATTCCTTTCTTAATCCTGGTCATAACGTCATCTTGCCAACCACACTTCTCTTATCACACTATTTCTCACCCTGTCATTCAGATTCAGCCCTAGCATACTCCTTAAAGACCGCATTTCTACATCATTTATTCTATTCTCATGCTTCTTCTGCCAGACCCAACTTTCACTGCCATACATTAAAGTAGGGACTAACACAGCATTATGAATTGCCATACGTGCCTTATTTGACACATTCTGACTCTTCACAATAGCATGTAGAGCCCCATTCACTCTATTTCCTGCGTTCACTCGTCGTTCTATATCCTTATCATATCTACCATCCCTGCTAAATAAACATCCCAAATATACAAACTCATCCACTTGCTAAATCAACTCCCCTTCTATTCTTATTTCACATAACGTTATATATACCTAAGGGCATTTTGTACTGCTTCTTGGGTATTGAATTTTTCCCGCCAAAAAGTTATACAAATTCTGAAAAAAGTAGAAGTCTTAGGCAAAGGTCTGGTGAATACGGCGGATGACGCAGAGCTTTCAACCCCAGCCCTTGTAACTTGGAGACCGTCTGTTGTGGAGTATGAGGACACGTTGTCGTGCAGGAGCAGCGGAGACGAGCGATTGACCAATGCTGGTTGGTTCTTCACAGTACACATCTGCAGTAATGCTCCTCTCGTTTGGTAAGAAGCTGTGATGAATCACACCCGCGCTAGACCACCAAACAGTGACCATCATTTTTCTAGGGGTAAATTTTCGTTTAGGGCATTGTTTAGTTGCTGTACCAGGATACAACCAACTTGCTGATCGCTTGCAATTGTCAAACAAAACCCATTTTTCGTCGCAGGTAACAATGCGCTTCAAAATTCCTTCAATTGTGTGCCTGTTGAGCAGTGCAAGGCACGTCTCGTTGCGTACTTGGCGCTGGCGATCATTGAGTTTGTGGGCCACCCATTTGTCAAGCTCTTTTACCTTGCCAATTTGACGCAAAAGAACCAATATTTTTTATGCTAACGTCGAAAGCTGCTGCTAATTCAGCCGTAGATTGAGTATCATCAGCTTCCACAATCGCCTTCAATTCGTCATTGTCGACCAAAGTTCTCGGACCACCACGGGGCTCATTTTTCAGGTCGAAATTTCCAGAATGGAAGCAGGCAAACCAATAACAGGTGGTGCGTTCGCTTGAAGTATTCGCTCCGTAAACCTCGATGATGTTGCGTGTCGCTTGCGCCGCTTTGCTGCCACGACCAAATAGCACCAGATGACAAAACAATGGCGTCACTATATGACATATTGATGAAAAATATCCTTATTTTTTAAGGCCTTAAAAACACTAAAAACACCTCTCTAAGTAGCCACAAAAAAAGTTATCCCTTTATTTTTGTTTTTGTAAATGTTCCGAAATTATTTTAAATAATGGTTTCAGAACGCACCTAATGACGATTCATTTGGCGTATGAAAGGACTTCGTATTCAAAAACTATAATTATTCACGTTTTTCTGAATAGTTGTTAATTGTAATTCAGTTCAATTAGTATTTAGGCATCAAATCAACTACTATACTGATTTATTATGTACTGGATTCATGTCATGAAAATAATTATTTAGCTTCATAGTAAGCTAAGCGTTTTGTTGAATTACGTACAACGGAACATCATTTGTCATCGACAAGTTACGCAATCTGTGATCATCGATCAACACCATTGATTGTCACCCGGCAATCATTCGCATCATCTTATTTGCTTTACTCGTTATTGTGGATTGTGATACGTACTGTACTATTTTAGATTTCCTTTTGTTGTTTCGACCTCAGCATTGTTTTACGGACTGATAACTACCACTTGTAACGATTATTCTATGCTTTTGGTTTCTGGACACCGATTTTGCATCTTGGATATTTGTGAGAGACATAATGCAGACTATAGCTACCCAACAACGACAACTAGCCCTGCGATTGCTATGTGTTCATTGTAACATATGCTTCGCCACCATCTCATTTTTGAACTTGATACCAGAGTAATTTCTAAGATCTGCGAGTGGAATTCTTCAATAATAGTACATATTTACATACCTACTTATTTTATTACATTAACATAAACCATCACACACAATCGTACATCATAATACAAATCTAATTCTTAATTTAGATCACTAAAGAAGATTACATACGAGGGCGGCACTGAAAATTTCGGGAATTAAGGAAGTGACACAACATTACTATTTAAAAATGTATTTATTGCTTTTCGAAGTATTCTCCGCGAAATTTGACACATTTTTCCATACGATGGAATCAGTCATTGAAGCAACCATTCCATTCGGAAGTTGGGGTCTCCAAAATGGCCGTTTTGTAGGCGTCCACAGCTTCTTCAGGTGATGAAAATCTTTGTCCACGCAATTTATTCTTTATTTTAGGGAAAGTATAGAAATCATTAGGGCTTAGGTCGTGGCTGTACGGCGGATGGTCTAATAATTCTATGTTTTCTTGCTCTAAAAACTCTTTTGTTCTGTGTGCGGTGTGAGAACTCGCATTGTCGTGATGGAGGATGATGCGGCGGTTGCAGTTCTCTTTATGGAGTTCAGAAACGACCTGTGGCAAACAAATGCTAGCATACCATTCTGCATTAACCGTTCTTTGAGAATTCAAGAGGAATAGTCGTAACATGGCCGGTTTTGGAGACAAACGTGGCCGCCATTTTTTTTGCAACACTCCGTGAACGAACAATTTTGTTGCTCATGCTCATTTTCGAACACCCAAACTCGTGACTGGTTTATTGTTTCGGGTTCGTACGCGTATATCCAGGATTCGTCACCTGATACGATGTTGTATACAGCATTTGAGGATCCTGCGTGGATTCTTTCGAGAGTTCTGACGCACCAAGTAAAGCGAGCTGCTTTTTGCTCTTCACAGAGCGGATGCGGTATCCATCGGGAAAACAACTTTTTTGCACCTAATTGTTCATGCAAGATTATTTGTATTTGACTCATGCCAATGTCTAAAGTTGCCTGAATTTCGCGGTATGTCACATGTCGATCTTCCTCAATCAGCTTACGCACAGCATCAACGTTTTCTTAGGTGACTGCAGTTTTTGGACGACCTTGACGGGGATCATCACTGAGCTTGACATGTCCACGTTGAAATTCAGCAAACCAGCGATAAATTGTGGTTTTGGATGGGGCTTCATAACCAAATTCAGAAATCATCCGGTCAACACACTGTTTCTGTGTTAAACCACTTCGAAAATCATAATAAATCATCGCTCTTGAATTTTCTTGAGTCAATTCCATTTTCTCAACTACTAAACAAGTTTGACAAAACCTTGTGACAAGACCGAGAATCTTTTTTTAAATAAATAAATGGTATTCGATTTTTAAAACCAAGGAGTTTTCAATTAAAAATATTTTAATATGACAGGAACAGTGGAAATATTCCATTCCCGACACTTTTAGTGCAGCCTATGTATGTGATGCTAACTTCAAAAGTATTGTTGACATTATTATAAAAAATTGTGGCTATTTATATATGATTTTGAAACGGGATAGTGTTTACAACATAAAAACAAACCAATCTAGCTATACTTTGTGTTGGGACATGAAAAATAAAAGTCTAGTTCAACTCCTATAGAAATTTGGCTATTGTTCTTTTTAACGTATCCATGATGACGAAAAAGATTCAAATGCAATGTAAACATAACGCTAATCAATAAACATATAACTAATTTTAAAAAAAGAATTCCATGTTTTTAAAATGAAATTAATTTGAAATTAGAATTCTTAGTCAAACAAAAATTATTTTGATTTGAAGCGGTCAGTACTGCAGAGCGGCAATTTCATAGTTAAATACCTATTATTAAGGGTTAATGATATTAAAAAAAAATACCGAGTTGTTTATAGCAAGGGTTATCTAAATGGGTAGCGCGCCACCCATGGCGCACAGAGACGAGACCCGCAAAAGGGCGCGTGACACCTGTAAGGTGCTTTGTATAAGGGCTTAGAATTGGTTTGATTCATCTGGGGTGAATGAAAATTAACATAGTATGTAGGCATCTTAGACTTCCACGATCATAATTGATCAACTCATGCAGAGTTTATTCGCAATATTATCAATAGTGCAGTCGCATTGTTTTGTTACGATTTGAATGGTGTCTGGGTGCCTTGAAATTAAAGCATGTAAGACCATCTTGTCTCAGGATGGCTAGTGCAGTCCTATGCGATTTGGGAACTCCCTTACTCAAGTAGAAGACCTAAGTATTATTGCTGTTTTATATGCTAAAGGTTGACATCAGGAGGGCCATCTGCACATTCCGTCACTTTAATTTCATTGAAAAAAAAATACTCAAATGTAGATAAAATGCAGCAACGGGGAGCGCGAAATATTTCTTTTTTTGTCAACCTGACACATAATTTTGGGAACCTCTGGGTTCCACTGCGCAGATTACCTCTCATGTTTTCCTAGTCTTTAAGTATAAATGGTCAAGTATTTGTAAATATTTTAATCTAAAGTATTCAGTAGAAGAAATTGCTGGATTTTTTTTACCTGATTACACCTACACATAGCAATCTACTTTGAAGCTTGTTATTTTGACAAAGCTTATTTTGCTTTGGAATATTTTAATTGTTAAAAAACTGTCTATATCACTCGTATTAAAGGTTCATTTTTATTAGATGGCTCACTGCTGGGCCCATGCGTCCTCTCATTTCTGAGATTGCTAGGAGCGATTTGTCCGCCGCACTGCTCCGCTAATTTTATTACTCATTTCTCTGTACACTGAGGTTTAACATTTCGAACCAGTAGTCATTAAAGGATTTTGACATTCATAAGTACTTGAAATAAGTAAATAAAATTGTATTTGAATTGGCTATGATCGTGTTGTATGGCATAAAATATATTTTTTTTACACCTATACCATATTATATTCCATTCGCAGCAAGAAGTGATTGATCTGACAAGTTCTCCAAGCGTGGGCGTGTCAGAGGAATCGCCGAATCACGCGTCGCCAGTATGCACGGAGTCACAATCACAGTCGCAGCCACAAACACAGTCATCCGAGTCACAGTCACAGTCACAGTCATCGGAGTCATTTGCATCGCGTCCGTTGCCGCGGATGGTCGGGCCGGCGCGCCGCTCGCCGTACGGAAGCGCGCGGCTCCTATATGACGCGCCTCCCAGGACCAACGACACGCCCGTCTACCAGCATAACCCGCAAGTACCGCATCATCCCTTCGTCCGTACCCGGTGAGTGATCTATATCGACTGCATCTGTGTTAACAATTTTATTATGATGTAGGCAGTTACTAACTGCGTGGGATATATTATAGTTCCGCTAAGGTACATCCAGTTGCCGTATGGTGCCGGTCCATCAACCTATTTCCTTCCGTAAGTATCTTAAAATTAGGGATGCATGACACGCGCTTCTGCAGATACCATACCGATAGCTATATTGGTTTAAATATATTGGCAGTACCCATACGCTTAGTGAATTTTGAAGTAGGTAAAATTAAACCTAAATTAAGTTTGTTGCAATGGTTAAAGGTTTGGTTATATCCTATTAGGTTAATTTTCAAAAGTTATAAGTTAAGTTTAATGTTAACCAGTTTTTTTAAAACACTTTGTTTCCCTATGTTTTCCTGTGATGGCGAATTGGCAAGTAGGTTTGCAACTCATTTGAAAACTGAACAATAAATATACGACCGCGCGTGTTTCTTTCATGCATTTTACACATTACTTTCTTGATGTGTGAAATTTAACAAACACAAAAAATTAACATATTGGTGTGCATCGGCAAATAAATATCGCTCATGTCGATATGTATATCGGTAAATCGAAATTATCGTCGATATATCTGCATCGGTTAAAAGACGGACAGAAACGCCTCATGGCTTCCGATAAATAGCAGTTATTATCCCGTTTACGCTAGAGCTAAAATTCTTAGACTGGCGACAGGGAGCAGCAGCATCATAAGAGGTGCGAGGTCTCTGGTACTGCTGATCGTGAGTTCCCAGGTTAGAATTCCGGGTCGAGCCAAAATCTGTCATTGGGTTTTCTTTCAGGAAATTCTCAGTAACAGCCCGGAATCAGAGGTTATCGGCGTTTCACGCCCTTGTCTTGGAAAGCACGAAAAGTCATTGACCCTGCGCGCCTGATCTCTCACCAGTCGAGTCGGATTACCATCTCATCGGTTATGAAAGAAGGACAAGAGAGTGCAGCTGTGTTTGCACGAGTGTGTACACAACCATATAATCCTGTCGTGCGCAGATGGCTGGTCTCCGTTGAGGCAGGCCGATTGGAAATTGTTCGGTCTGGAGAATAATACTGCTGCCGCCAATTCGTCTACTAAAGTTGGCGATTGTGACAAATTCTTCCTACAATAGAAAAACCCGTGGCCAATATTCGTAGCTGGAAGATTGATGATTGGTTAATTACCCTATTCCTATTATTGATTGATTAATTAGCCTATTTCGCGTGTGGGCAAGAATTATAAACTATTAGATTTTAGATTTTTGATATACGACTATTCGAGCCACTCGAGTAACCTTAGTAGTTCTTAATGTTACCAATGGCCTCGGGAAGCAACCTCGGTGTACCGAGTATTTAGCTATGTGGCTGGTAACCGCTGGACAATCAAGTAAAATGTGTCAATTTCTTAATGCAGGCTCTACACAGAGGGCTATCTGTGATACTTACAGGACTAGTGACCAGTCTAATTTAAAGTTTGTTTAGTCCGAGTGACCTACTGGATATGTTGTATGTGTATTGGTAGTACTATTATTTATTCTGTGGTATTGGATATGTAGAGCTTCATCGTAGTAACCTAGTATTGTGTATGTTGATATTTTGCATGCTTGCATACTACTATCCTTACATAGCAGAAGGAGAGTGCAACAGTGAATTCAAGTTCCGCTGTTCCTAGTGCTGCACCATTCAGGTAGAGTTCATTAAAGCGCTGGTAAAATTAAAAAAAAGTTAGTTACACCCTATATACGTCCCACTGCTGGGCACAGGCCGCCTCTCATTTTGAGAGGGTTTTAGGGCAAGGAAATGTCCGCCGCGCTGCCCTAATGCGTGTTGGCGAACTTAACTAACTTATTTCTCATACATGCAGGTTTCATCGCAATGTTATCCTTCACCGCCGAGCACGTGGTAAAAGCGCTGGTAGCATTCAATTAATAGTCATGAGTACATAAAGAAGAAATAGTATAAAAATAATGTATACACAAAATATAATGAAATGTTTCCGCAAGTTACGAGAAAAGGGCGATTGTTCAGCATGAGTTTCTAGTATAGAGGAAATCAATTATCTCAATTTGCATGCATTCAATATGCCCTCGAACTTTACGACTGTTTTAATGGGTAGAAATTTTCTTTTGCTGAATACTGAACATATATATTATATAAATCTCATAACAATATGATATATGTGTGAAAGGGTCCAACAGATAGGGGTTAGTCATTCATAGACGTTATCAGTCATAATTAATCTTATCTCTTATCACAAGAGCAAAATATATTTTCATCTAAAATAAGAATCTAATTTAATATAAAACTTTTATTCGTTTTGCATAGCCGATTACTACGTAACACATGACTCTAAATGAATCTAAAAACTTTGATGGCTCCGTGGCGCAGTGGCTTAGCAATAAGTTGCAGCGCTAAGGGCCGCGAGTTCGAATCCTGCACGGAACAAGTATTTGTATGGCCTACATATAATTGTTCTGGGTCTGGATGTTTGTCCTTGTGAAATCTATGTATGTAAATGCCCCCCCGATACAGGAGAAAATTCTAGTGTTGAAGTAACGTTTTTAAAAATTATATATATACAAATATACAAACTTTTATGGAATTAACTCTCGACAGGGAAATTGAACCCCGAACTTTTGTTCGACATTATATTGAATCTATTTACTCTTATAATAATTGTGAATATTACTTATTTTGGCGGATAAGCAATTACATTAGCAGGCTCTTCTCATCTTCATGTGGGTGCCTAGTCCGAATATTATAATATTTCATTGCATTTAACTTTCTTAGATTGCATTATAGATTATCTTACACCGCAATTTACCCAAAGCTGCTTCTCCTTTATAGTGTAAATAAAATTATTGATAACGTATAACAGATGCTGTCCCGAGTGTTTTAGAACTGGCAGTAAGTACTGGCATTAATAATTTTAAATTAATACAAGTTGATTAACGTCTTATTTCAAATTTATTTCGTTTATTTTACACTCCGGGCGCTTCGAATACCCTACAAAACCCTATGGGTTTTGTAGGGTATTCGAAGCGAGAGTAAGGTGTTTGGTGTCCTTATAACGTAGATAATTCATATCTTTTTAGTATTTATTTTTATTTTGTTCAGTTCATTATATTATGCACACGTGAGCTTAATTTTATTTGTATACAATACCCCAATATGGTCGTTTTGTAATAAAGTAAATTGTATGCAGAGTACGCGTTGGCACTTGTATGGTGGCGTGCCCGACGTGCTGCTGCGCGCCCAACGCGCACACGCACGTGCCCACTACGCACGCCACGCCGCCGGCTGCGCACCGTGAGTACAAATCACTTATTTACTTCCATTTTGGTGTATATCTGTTTGCTGTGTAGCTTTAATAAATCTTAGATTAAAAAAATCAAATACTCTTTTAAGTGAACGAGAAAGAGTAAAACTAAAAAATGTATTTTTCTATGAATAAACATTTTGTTCTAATTATGTCGAATCAGTAAACGTAAATAAAACATATAAATATTACTTCAGGAATCAAGCGCGCAATGTGGCTCATTTCTAAGAAACTCACACAGGCCCTTTTTAGTGTAAACGAGGCATTCTATCCTAGTACTCAGGTGTGACAACGCATTTGCATTTTGATTTTTAGTAGAGGATAAATGTAAATGTCAATGAGCCACAGCATCCACTTACCATCAGGTGGATTGTGTGCTCGTTTGTCAACCTTATTCTATATAAAAATAAACATTGTCCAACAGTTTATTATATTTTAGACTCGGGACGCTCAGCCAAAGTTTACTTTATTTAGAGTAGTTATTCGGATTGCCATGCATGATGTAAGTTACTTACAAGTTACAAAGTTAATCAGTATTATGGTTAAGATACAAAATGGTAAAGGTATCCACAACAAGCACGAGTAGTAGTAAGTTAGGTGCGGAGATGACGGGAGAGTTTGAAATAGTCACCGAATTAAAACAAGGCGATAAACACCCATGCTGTCCGATCTAACACTCGAACACTTAATAAGGCAAGTGTTAACACACGATGGCATAGTTTAGTTAAATAGAAAATAAAGCGTGATAGGCTTCGCGAATGACCTTGTGGTGTTGGTGGAAAGCAAAGAAGGTAGTACGGGGCTGTAGAGATATTGAAATAAGAATCAAGAAAAATGGGCCTTAAGACAAATCACGACAAGACCTAGTCGTATACTTACATTTGGTATGTTCACATGGGACGTTACCAAAACGTAAGTATAGTTAACGAGGACCGTAATGCTGATTGCGCCACTTTTAAACGTTTTGATGAGTTTTAAATACTCACGCTCCACTTAAATGCGCATACAAAAACCAAGGAGGAGGATAGAAAGCCGTGTACAAAAGCGCAGCTCTACATGAGGGTTTGGTGATCTATCGTGCGCGAGTCCGACTCGCACTTGGGCGGTTATTTTAATCGTAATCGTGAAACGTGATCTAGTTTTAAGAGAAAATAGCATCGAACCCTCACGTGAATATTAATTCCAGTATTTTTTTTATGCAAATGTGATTGATGCTGCTGCACTGCCAAAGAAGGCATTTCTTAAGAACTATTACGCACCGATCGCTTGCAGTGACTGCTGTTGGTGAACTTGGTGCGAACTAAACTCGATCCAACGCGGCTTACTTTGCGTTGGATTATTTTTTGGCGCTAGGAATGCTTCCATGTTTTATTGCGTGCAATGTGTCGAATGCATCATCTACCGTTTTGCGAAAACATTGTTTTATTATGCCATGCCCATTTTTTGCCCCAAGGTTTGAAATGCGTTATGTTACGAGTATAAATTATTTTTATAGACGTTACTGCTTTCAATTGTATATTGTAAAGTTTTAAGTTTTTTTTTTACTGTACTTTGCTTTTTGAGACGTAAGTCTTTTCTAATATAGTTACCTACAGTTTAATATAATCTATATTTAAAAAAAATTGTAATTTCAGTTGGTGACCGACGTCGTAGCTCAATGCCCATAGCGCCACCGTACCTCGTCCATGAGCGCTTGTGGCATCGACAACAACACATGCTGGTAGATATTCATTCATTTGTAATAACACCACCTTTCAACTTTATTTTTTTCTCTTCTATAAAAATAACACTAACTTGTCAAATAAAGTTGCTAAAGCTATGAAATCTGAATGTGTCGCAAACATTTACGGGATACTGTTATTGCTTAGGTAATATTATTACTATAAGTAAAAATATTATCTTGTAAATGTTTATTTATTTGATTTTCAAAAGTTAACGAAAGCGTTTTTAATGGTGTTGTTTTAAATTCATGAAAATTGATTATTTTAAATTAAATTAATCAAAAATTTTGAATTTTGAAAAATTTGAAAGTGAAAGCGGAGTTCAAAGAAAATAATATAGCTTTCTGAAGTCGGTGCTAATAGATAGTGTATAAAAATATTTAAAGCACCTTCAGAATATGATATTATTTTTTCTTTTTAGTTCCCTGTGTGCATTTTACGTTTTATTAAAAGTTAATTTTTTCCCCTTTTGAGTGAACTAAGGACTAAATATACAATATGTGTGTGTAAATAATAACATTAAATACTTCATCTGCAATTTTACTACCTGTTAGGTTTTATGCAAATTGTACATACAAATAAAATGTTTATATGTATACCACCCCTGAAGTATTTAATAGATAAAGAATCATCCAATTTGGTTCACAATTGACTCAGATATCGCGTCACGTACACCAAAAAACATACTGTCGAATTTGAGAATCTCCTTTTTTTTAAAAAACAGGTAAAAATTACGCTGAATTGGTAAGTATTTATAAAAATAAACAAAAACATAAATTTAAAAATTTACGTTTACAAAAATGTGGCCATTTTCTTAATTAATGTATTGAAGTTTTTTTTTTTTTTGCTTCGCATCGTGTGTATTTTACTACTAGTTTTAGGGACGATTTTGTACATAAACCAAGAAGTTGAGATAAAAGCTAAAAAGCGAAAAATCACCACAAGATCCAACCAGTTATCAATAATTTTAAACATCAATTCAAACATCATCCAAAAACATCAATTTTATTAATGATAAAAACAAATTTTAAGAGTACCCACTTGATACAATTAATGACTAGGAATTTACCTAACACTTTATGGAACCTATAAGCCCATAATATAACATTTAAAGGTTATTGTAAATAAAATAATTTTGTTTATAATACATTCAACACTCAAAACCACCATATTTCCTATTTCCTACTAAAAATAATGTTGTAATGAGTATTGACATAATATTGTACAGAAAGCTTATCTATGTCTATGGTCTATGACAAATTCAGTCATCGTAATTTTTTATACTAGCAAGAAATGATGACACCAGATGGTAAGTGGATGATGTTGCCCAGACATTCTATCATTAAAAATGAGAATGTAGATGCGTTGTCACCCCTGAAGGCTAAGGTGAACCACCCACGATGCCCACCAAATTTATACCGTCGCACCGCTCGTGCGTTTGTTTTATAATACATAAATAATATGACAACTTTGTATTTCCAGGAAGTACAAAGGCGGAGTATGATGGGTGACATGGGTGCGGGCCTGGGGTCCGGACTGAATCCATACTCGCCCGCCTACACTGCTTCTCCACGTCCCACTACATATTTCTCGGTTTGTGTATCACATTGTAAATTATTATTCAGGAGCAGTGACATAAACTTTCTTGAAAATATGAGGTCAATGCCCAGCTCATAGACGCAAGGTCGTATTTAGGCTTTTATTTTATTTGACTTTTTAATAAAAGTGAAATCATTGTAGGCTTCATTATTTTGTTTTTGAGTATGACCTTGCTCACTCGTAAAATGTTGTCAACCTCTTACCTCATAAGTTATGTTCCCACAGCAAGGGATGCATTGCTGCTTCGCGGCAAAAATAGGTTATAACTCAAGATGGCCTTGTAGTTGCAGTGTAAGAATATCTACTACCTCATATCATCCGTGGGTGTCGTAAGAGAAACTAGTTAGGAGATGGGCAGCAGCGTCTTCCTAATATTGACTAAAATTAAAAACCGTGTTTGCCAACCGCTTGCCAAACTTGACAATTATGGAAAATATCCCCTCTATTAGGCAATCTGTGGGGGAGGCCTATGTGCAGCAGTGGACTTTAGTAGGCTGACGGTAACGGTTCATTCAAACGTACTCCTACAAATGTAGGGAGTCCTATACCACACCTAGTAAATTAGTCTTAGTATCTCTCCCGTCTGTGTTCGCTTGGGGCTTACTGAAAATGAACGCTGCGATGCCACGGCTTATGCTAAGGTGGTAACTTCCGCAGCTTCATAACAAAACACACACTCTTGCTTATTTATATCTTCGTTTTTTACATATTATAATTTTTTAACTGTTATTAAAACTATTATCCAACTTCATAGATTTCAATAGCTTTATATATAGTGTACAGAAGAATTATATTCCCTACTTTTAGAAACTACTATTATGTAGATTTTCTTTTTAGCTCTTTAAAGTCAGCTTTTACTTTTTATTAAAAGTTAATTTTTTACCCTTTTGAATGGACGAAGGCCGTCTTTATAGTTACATTCAATACTTTATCTCCTTTTTCTACTTACTATTAGAGTTGGAATTTTTCCCCAATTTATACTCCTGAGGCATAACCTTTTTTTTTATAAAAAAGAATGATCGCTCTTTTGAAGTCGCCTAATATTTTTATGCAGTTTTTATATTGATCTACAATTCTGCGCTGTGTACATTCTATGTGACGCAAAACGAAGCCAAAACCATGCTCAACTTATTGTTAGAACATATTAACGTACATATATGTATTTAAAATCTGTTGGGCTGTTTAAGAAAGACTGAAGAAAGATGTGTGCGTGAGTGCGTTTCCAGAAGTTATGCATTGTTTCGTCATCACATGAAATGTGCGCAGCGCTCCGTCTATTTTTGTTTGTTGGTCTGATACTATATTATTATTTCAGTTTCCCGATGAATTTGATCAAAATGATGGAGGACGAATGCCTATGATGTTGTGAGTATTGATGAAATTATTTACCGTAACTTTTTCGAATACTAACTTTTCTGAAGTTTATACATTATATAACATTTCTATCTATTTTTTGCTATCATAATAATGTGCTATTTAAACGATTAAAAATAACTTTCTCATATTATTCTTCTAGAACTAAGAGTCTCTATGATGTGTATCAAATAAGAATTACAAATAAATAAATCTTTACAGTTTTCTTTGAAATTAAAATAATAAGCAAAGTAAAGATACTATCGTTAGAACATTTGCCTAACGCGTTTTCAGTGTTAGAAAAAAACTAGCGCCATCTATTTTATACCTAATTTCAGCAACGATATTGACGACCGGATCTATTATCGAGAAGGAACGCGACCAACCCGGGTTCTATTCCCACCGGCAGCAATGAAATTGTTGATTGCAATTTTAAGTGCTGAATTACCACTTGCTCGTCGGTGAAGAAAAACATTGTGAGGAAACCTGCATGTCTAAGAAATAGGAAAAAAAATCAGACGTGAAGTTCGCTAACACGCATGGGGGCAGCGCGGCGGACATTTACTTGCCCTAAAAGTCTCTCATTTATGAGAGGAGGCCTGTGCCCAGCAGTGGCACGTATATAGGCTGTAACTCTAACTTTAATTGATTATAATTAATAGATTATTTAATATCTCAATAATATTTTTTGTGTTCCGCACTGACTTTTATATAAATCAATGATAATATTAACTAATATTGTTGCAGAGACGGCCAAAATGTTCATCATCATATGCATCATCACCTGCAGATGAACCCCTCACATTTGCATATATCAATCCAGCCATCAGTAATGGTAAAAAACATGGTTTCTTTTGTAACGTGTACTTGTTTTATAGCCTACTTTGGGATAATCCCGTCGACCTCTCAACTATCATAAACCAAATAAAACATTACACCAATCTTGCAATATCAGTAACAGTAAGTTGAGGTGCGACTAGGCGGCCGTTGGGCAACTCCATAGTCGCGTACATTATATTGATATATAATCCTGTCATATTGATCTATAATCTGACGGTTCCGCGCAGAGTCTTAGGAATGAGTTGCAGCGCTAAGGGCCACGGGTTCGAATCCCGCACGGAACAAGTATTTGTATGGCCTACAAATAATTGTTCTGGGTCAGGATGTTTGTCCTTGTGAAATCTGTATGTTAACTGCCCCCGCGATACATGAGAAAATTCTAGTGTGGAGGTAACCTTTAAAAAAAAAATGATATAATCGTTAAGCATAAATAAATTAAAATATGGTTGAGAGGTCGATGGGATAATCCCAAAGTACCGTATTGTAATGCTTTTAATAATATTTTAAAGTTATTTATACGACAGACCACTCAAAGTTCTGCGTAAGTTTTTTTCTGTATGAGACACAAGCCAGTTATAACTTTTTTCATTGGTAATGGACTTAATACAATTGTACTTCTGCCAGTGTCAAGTAATAATAAATTGCCATTTTATAATAATTTGAATAAAAACTTAGAAATAATTGATGAATCATCACATTGCGATGTTTTTTTGGGGTTTTGGCGGCAGCTTGAGCTAGCAGACAGTCGATGACGACAGTATCTCATAGTGCCTAAGCAGACACATCTTGAGGTTCACGTTACTATAGGAGCGCATGTCTCATCGTTTCCATTAATAGTTCACACGCGCAGACATTTAATACATAAAATCGCACCACTTTTATGGATCAAAATTCACTTCAAACCATTTTTCAAACAATAAATAGGAGCAGCAATCCGCCGGCTATCATGTTCCCGCCAAAACTCCAGTTAATATTTATTCTTAATAAAGAAGTAGAAGTATAATACGAATTCCAACTTCAAATCTTTCTTCCACATTTTTACCCAAATAGAATACCGTGTTATATTGAAAATTTTACGATTTCGAATGTCGCCTAAAATCGGGCGATCGTTTTATAAGACTTCAAACGACATTTGCGAGTATATATATAAATAAAAGTCCTTCTAAGAAGAGACAGACTGGTCCCACGTACTCGACGTATGCAACGCATTATGACGCCTGGACTCTTGATTTTGTATAAAAAACTATGCATTTAAAACACAGATCGTATGTAACGCAATCACACGCAACGTCGACCTGCGATATCCAGATCGGCGTGAGAAAGTGAATGTTCGTGCGCGATCCCACGCCGTACTACCAGAGTTCCTGGAATTTCGCGTTGCATGTCATAAACAAATAGACCTTTGCAATAGACAAAACGCGTGCACGGTACGTTTTATTGTCAAAATGTGAGATGATCAGCTCATCTATTTAGTAAGGCGACTATTTTAAATCTATATTTTATTTTTCTAATTTTATAAATATAACACTAGATCCACTCTGTACGTACCCTAATTCTATAAATATAACACTAGTTCCGTTCTGTCCCTACCCTAATTCTATGAATATAACACTAGTTCCATTCTGTCCCTACACTAATTCTATAATTATAACACTAGATCCACTATGTCCCTACCCTAATTCTATAAATATAACACTAGATTCATTCTGTCCCTACCCTAATTCTATAAACATAACACTAGTTTCATTCTGTCCCTGCACTAATTCTATAATTATAACACTAGATCCACTATGTCCCTACCCTAATTCTATAAATATAACACTAGATCCATTCTGTCCCTACCCTAATTCTATAAATATAACACTAGATCCATTCTGTCCCTACCCTAATTCTATAAATATAACACTAGATCCATTGTGTCCTTACCATAATTCTATAAATATAACACTCTAGATCCATTCTATCCATCTTATATAATATTTTTAGTGATTTCCTCCGTCAAAGGTCATTTTAAAACGATGGATTTTAGAAATTACATATTATGATATATAGTATTAATTTCTTATTTAATGAATTTTTATAAATTTATATGAGTTTAATCACTAATAACAATTATAATATGACAGGGTCCCTCGTTATCGCTAGCGGCACACATGGCAGCAATGGTTCGAGCCGCTTCCGCTTCAGAGGCAAGACGTTCTTCCCGGGGGGCCTCCAGAGCAGTGATCGAACGCAATACGTACAGACACGCATACGCCCGGCCAGCGCCACACCACCAGGACGAGAAATGCACTATCTGTCTATCTGTGTTTGAGGTGGACTCGGATTGCAGGTATATTTCCTTATATTTCTAGGTGGTAGGGACCACGGGACACGGAAAACTGGAGTTCCATAAGACGCGATTTGTATAGGGACTAATGTCGCCATAATGCTCACACAACTGCGAAGTAACACATTCACAGTACAATATGGCATAGTAAAAACTCAGCCCATAATTTACACATATCTATTCAAAATTATTATACATTTTATTAACTGATACCTAATGATAGCTCAGGGGCCTAAGTGCTTGCTGTAGATTTCACAGTACGCGAGCAGTAGCTCGATCTCCGCCGGGGCTGATGACATTGTTGATTGCAATTTTATGTGCTGATTTATCACGTGCTGAAGGAAAACATCGTAAGGAAATCGTCATGTCTGAGAAATAAAAAATATATATTATTTCAACGGCATGTAGTCCGCCAACACGCATTGTGTAAAAACCCTCTGTAAGACATAAGAAGAGGCCTGTGCTCAGCAGGACGAATATAGGCTGTAATTTTAACTTTAATGAAAGATGAAAAATGAGTGTCCTCTTCCCTTTATTATTGTAACTTCTTGATAAGTAAAGCCTTAATATTTAATGAAATGTTAATGTTGTTCGCAGACGATTGCCGTGCATGCATCTATTTCACATGGAGTGCGTTGATCAGTGGCTGAGCACCAACAAACATTGTCCCATCTGCCGCGTTGACATCGAAACACACTTGAACAAAGATGCAACATTTTAAGATCTTCTTTAACGAATTTTAGGTACAGTATTTAATAAACAACTTACTTTTAACCACTCCTGGTAAGCTTAGAATGGTTGTCAGGAGTGGTTCATGACAGTAGTCGAATGGTGGATTCGAACCCATGACCTTTTGAGTTGGCGATTCGCACCGTGCCATTATGCCACTGTCACTTACAATTTGTAGTCACAATTCGCTTAAAATACGATCACTGTTTTTAGTCTAGATGTAATTGTCCCCATGTATTTGAATATTCCATTTGAGGTTTATCTCTAATCTGTATAAGTGTAACATTGGATATGGGGCAGTAAGAAAGGAGTGCGTTTTTGTTGACATTGTTAAATAAATAAAATAGTAAAAAGTTTATTTTCAGTCTCAGTTCGTTGTTTATTTTTCTATTAACATAACTACACTGTTTAAAAATTAATATATATATTATTTACATCTTGTTTAATTAATTTTAGTTGATATCTATTGCTTTCAACAAAAACATTTTTACTGAAGGGTAATGATGATGTTGAAAATAATACTACATAATATTCTTATGTACCTGAAAATTATATAGAAAGCAATTGTTTAAATTCACACTCTAGATATTAAGAATGTAATTTAAATTCAAAAGGTTCCTTTCAGGCTCAACGTGAATAATGGCAAATATATTTGTGAATGCTGTAATGCAAATATTCAATTTATCTAACAATTTGTCTTACAGAGATAATTATTGTTAAAAATTATCTCTGTTAGACTTTTTGTCACTAGATTCATTATTTTTCAGTTTCTCTTCGAGCTGTGGTGAAGATATGATGGCCTTCTGTTGTATTTCTAAGCTCTCTTGTTGAAGCGCTTGATTCAACTGCTTTTGGGTGTTGCAAGTCCTGTGGAAGAATTAGGTGATATTGTCATCATGTACATAGATTTCTTGAAGGCTCGTTTGCATTGAAACTGATAGTGCAATCATACATTAATTTTCCACATTCTTACATATTGATTTTCAATTCAGATATATTTTCATTCTGCTAACAATTGATATCCCTTCTATGTTGGGGAATTCTTGTCAGCTAAAAGTAGAAGTGCGGATTCATCTAGGTTAAGCTGGCAGCAATTAGGTGTAACCTATATAATTTATAAAATGGTAATATAATCTATACAAATAAATAAAATTGAAGTGTCTGTTTTAATATAATAATAACATATTTTACTAAATGAACATGAAAGTATATATGATATTTATAATGAAAAAAAAAAAACAAAAACAATTTTTATCTGTCTGTTCCAGCTAATCTCCGAAATGACTGGACCTATTTTCGACGAATGACGGGATTTTCCCTGGCTAGGGTTCTGCGCTACGCTATTTTATATAACTTATAAAATAGATAGCTTTGAGCTTGGCCTTTATACACAGGCATCTGAACCTGTTGTCGCTAATATTTCTTCATAATATGTGTGTACTTTTGTATTTTAAATTTTAATGACAAATTTTACAGTACACCTAAGTTCAACAACTCTAATCGGCTGCATCTAGTTGTAGACGGCTATAAGTGTTTCCGCACTTCGGCTTTTAGCCATATCATAAATACAAGATTATAACATAAATATAAAACATTGCTACTCGTCAATTTTAATGTGGTCGAGCCAATATGAATTGTAAAATATTTACTCTTTCAGAATTTGTTATAAATATTAACCACTATTACATTGTTATGAGTTAAATGAAGTGATTTTTGTTGTGAATGAAATGATAAAAACAAGTATAACTTTTTATCAAATAAGTTACATTCATCAATTTGGTATGTTATCAAAACTAATGAATAAGCAAAATGAAAAGTTTTATATTACAATAGTTTAAAATTACAATATATTTGCTTTATCAAAGATTTCTTTTACTTATTAGTGTTTATTAAATTACCTAGAGGCATGATCAATTCTTTCACAAATAGCATCAGATGCGGCAACATTTCCTGAGAGGTAAGAAATTTCTGCTGCTGCTGTTGCAACCTTTTCAACGTAATCCATATAACCTGAAAACAAGATTTTCTTAGTTATTTCTATGAAAAGTGAATTTTTATGTTTTTCTTCAACTTTTTTTTACTTGATACAAAGTTTACTGGGGACCTATACCTACTGGATGACGTTTTTTACAATTTACAACGTGCGCAATCAATTCGACAAGACAGCTAATTCCGTGATAGGTTGATAGGTAGATAAGTCGCGGTTGGCCTGTGAACTAGCCGGCGAGATCACCAGGCCTTTAGACTTTTATTTGTAGGCCGAACTAAGACCCAATATACACTGCCGCGGAACGGAACGGAAGTGAATTTTTGTAACGAAATTGTACATAGTAAAATGAGTTTTATGTTAATTGTATAAGATTTAAATTAGACATGAGCCAAAAAAAGTCACGCGTCTTCCGTGGAATTCTCGAGGTTTCCCCTAGCCATTGTTGGCGCAGTCTGTGGAATCCGCGGGAAGCAGCGCGAAGGTTGTGGAATCCGCTGGATCCCGGTAAGTGGCACTCGCAGCAGTGCGGGTGCGGCGTCAAGCGCCTACGAAACAGGTTGTGTACGTACTGTGTGACTAAAAAACATGGATTTAGACGAAAAGTTGATCTTTTTCGTGAAAAATATGATTGTTTGTGTAACGTACAAACTAAGCGCGGCGCAGTCGCTGGAATGCTCGAGCATCCCTGCGAATTCGCGTGACGAGGCGAAATTGACGCTTCCATTCCGCTACAATGTAAATTGAGCCTAAAACGATTAGTGTACACAGAAGAAGCCACCAAGAGTTAGTGAAAGTTAGAAAACAATTTACAAAGACGTGCTAGTTTGTGTTTAGAAAGAAACTGTACACATTTTGAACAATTACTGCGATATCGCTTAAAAAGATAAATTTTTCGTAAATAACAATAATATAGTATAATTTTGTAAATATCAATCAGTGTAGTTTGAAAATAAGTTGATTTCGATCTTTTAGATACGCCTAAGATGTTGCAGTATACTACGCGTTCATTTCGAGTTTGCCGTCGTCGACCGTTATGACGTCATAAGTAACGATACCGTAGACAAAACTATTACTGTAAGTGTTAATTGTAAGAAGTTCGATTTTTAGTTTGTTGCCCTGTACAGATAAACAGAGGGCAAGCAAGTAGATAAAATGCATATTATTGAATAAATTATTTAGTTAGTAAAGTAAATAACACTGAATAGAAAAACGTGCGCGATAAAATAAAATATTTTTATTATACATTTTAAATAAATTATTTATGAAGGAGCGAACAAAAGCTGGTAGGTAGATATTTACGCATCCATAACTTCGATACCAGTTATTTTATCAAAATCGTTTGTTTCTGTATCACTCCATTCTGTGTTTATTACAAATTAATGAAAGTAAAAAGTCAACAGAAACAAAAACAACAACAAAAACAGTAACAAACTGGAGCTCGCACAAATTATGTATGTCGCCGCCGGAGGACCCACAAAAAAAACCAAAATTACTTTTATTAAATTTAATTTAAAAGATATTACAACTAAAAGAGCTAATACTAATTAAATCCTCACCCCGTCCGATGTTAGAAACGAAGTGAAGTGGCATTGTGGAGTTTCGTATATATAATGCTGTCGGATGACTCTGTGTCAGGTCACTGTGAATCCATGGCAGTTACATTTCCCATCAAGTTAGCAGAATTGCCACGCTGCATTAGGTTTCTGGTAAGGTGCTATGTCGGTTGACACCGCGTGCGTCATTGTGGTTCGCGGTTTTGTAAGGGGGCATCCATATAACACACGGGAGCACAAATAACGAACGTAGATACATTTCAGCGTTGGTATCGGTACTTATAAGGGCGACGCTTGAGGCGCGGTATGAGGGAGCGCGGTGGGAGGTAACGGCATTCATGAAATCAACACGTAGTACGGTAGGCATAAATATTATTATTAGAAATATGAATTCATTATAATGCAAGATGAAATCCAACATGTAATTAGCCTGTAAAAGTATGAAGGAAAGATCGAAATCACAAAAATAATAATCTGAAACGAAAGGTTATCGGTTTCGGCGGGAACGGCTTCTGCTGCATTCGGTCGGCACGAATGTATGTCGCAGCCAAAAAAGGAATAACACGTATTAATAACCGCCTAGTCGTAATGCACATTATGTAATGTATCGGCTTTTTGCGTTTTACAATGCGGCTGATAATGCTGAATTTTAATCGCCATGCAATACAAAACGAATAAATGCAGCGGGTTGTCTTTAATACCGCAAAATTCAAGAAAGTGGACCTAAATAGTCGTTCTGTAATCCGGCTAGACATTGTCTGCCGTTTTAGTAAACGTATCGTAACGTCATTCCGACTGAACGTCAGTAATCTGCATTTGTAAACGGCGCCGTATCAAAAAAAAAACACTTGGGTGATTCTTTGAACATATTACGCGGCCCTCCCCAAATAACTACTTAGGGAGATATAAAGTTATATTCTTTTTTTATTTCACGTAAAACATGGTTCTAGTAGTATATAAAGATGTACATAACATTTTCCTATTGTAATAAACAACTAAGTTATATTCATAAACGTTCCTCAAATCTCATCACCATTCGTGTCCCAATTACCAAATTTTAGCAGTTTATGCTCGAAAAGTTGTAAATAAACCCCGAAGATCGTATGTTTTTGTAGTAATTTAGATAGTACACTACATGCTTTAATAATTAGCAAAACTGCACACATTAAAGAACACTTTTAAGTAATTTGTAACGACTTTGAAACACACTTTATACTCACTACCATTTGTCCACACAGTCGCACGGTTAATTTTTTTCCGCGTATGTATTGGTATCTGAAAGGGTAACAGCGGTCGCGCTCACTTTTGCCCCACGACTCGTGCGGGTCATACGACGAAGAGTCTTTTAGCGCCAACTATAGCCTACCTTAATCGCCCAGAAATCGTGTTTGGGAAACAAAAATCTCCTTACCGTTCGAGTTTCCCGTGGTAAGTCTATTATTCTTATTT